GTTTTTCAGGTTCAGTGTAATTTTTTTCTTTATTTTCCATAGTGTTCCCACGAGTAGGGTCGATTAAACAGGTCACAAATGGGGTGACGCCCATTCCCAAATGAAGGCGCAAATACAACAATGTGAGCCAGATCCATTGAGGTTGGCGCTCGCGACTGAACACCCATCAGCCATTCATCCTATTGGCGCGTCTCCCACCTTAGGATTGGGGTAAGTTTTTATGGAGGCTGTCTACCTCTTGACCCGGGCGGCTAAGCCAAGGCCCCCGGTTTCGCTTACATGCTATGTGTAAGCGAGGTTACGGGTTGTAGTACAACTTATAAGATTAATTAAAGTTGTATATACAACTTATAAGATTAAATAATAATTAAATATGTAATTATATATCAGTCTAATAATTTAATAAAATAAATATTATTATTTCATTATGAACATGGTGAACAAAAAAACTTCCTTTATTTAATAACCAATTGATCATGTCCAGGACTGAAAATTAGGCAACACATATGCTAATAGTAACATACATAACATCACGCCTTTTATCTCCGAAGGGGTAGGCAGAGGTGCACATAGAAGTAACACCCACTTTTCACTATTTATATTATGAGTCCCATGTAATAGGGGGTGAGCCTATTGCCATATACCGGGCACATTTCCAGACTCCAAGCTACTACTGAGAATTTTTTAAAAACCCAGTGTAATACTTTGCCCGGCCCGGGAATCGAACCCGAGACCCCTTGCCCGGCAGTCGCACTTGCGACCACTCGGCCAACGAGGCAGGCTAATATTAAATTGAATATAAAATATGTTTCATCAAATAAGTATCTTGGTGAAGGTCGTTTTATATTGGGATCTTAGACAGATTTCTATGACATAATGCATGATAAATTAAATTTTTAAATTATGCCTCTCCCCAACGATTGCTATTTCAAGAAATGTATAAATAAAACTAAGATTTATTTTAGACTGCTAGACCTAGGAATAATCTGGGTCAGAGTGTAGCAAAGGGTGTGCAAGAGATTTGGGACCTTACATACTCCGCCAACTGACCTTTGGGGCTCATTTTCAGGCAAATCTGAAGCCCTATATAAAAAGTGCCCAGATGATTTTCACTCTATTTTTAGTATTATTACTAAACGATGGAAATTAAGTTAAATTATAAGTTATTCTCATTTTTTATGAAATTTTTAACCATAACATAACATCACGCCTTTTATCCCTGAAGGGGTAGGTAGAGGTGTACATTAAATTACATCAAGCAAATTTTTCTAAGTCCTAAACTCCTTGCACACCCTTTGCTACACTCCAACCATTATCTGTACTGTACTGTACTACTATAATAATATTATTAAAGTATACTGCACTATAACTGCGTTAATCTGTCAAACACCAAGCGGTCACCGGTGACCGCGACCTATTGTTCTTTAATTGTGTCTATAAAACCGGTACTCGACGAGTAATGTGTACTAGGTATCATTACAATTTTCACTTATTCATCTCAGAGAAGTCTAATTGGAAATGCATGCATGAAAAAAGTTATGGCGTAATTTTAAAACATTGACTTACAAAAGTGCTATGTTGTTCTCTATTTAGTATTTAGAAAAATTAATAGCATTTCATAGCCTGTAAATTCGCTTACATAAGTTCTGATTGGTATAAAATGGCTAAATAATATTTAGGTACTTACTTGTATTCCTTTGTTTAGTCCACCACTAAAAGTACGACCTTTTCTGATTTTGCACAATTAATGCTAATTATTGTGTTGCATTCACTGTTTAGATTAGAAATCGTATTGATTGATTATCGCGCACTCGCTTTTATACCAGGGCTTTTGTACTTATACGCACCAACGGTGGATGATGGATAGAACCGATTGAACATAGGGACTTTAAGCAACAGTAAAACTAAAAAATAGGACAATCCAAGTTTTGTCTCGAAACGATATGTATGATATCCATTCATCCATCAATAGTCTATGTAGGTATGTAGAAAGTAAAGTACGAAACTATGTACTTGTAAAGTATTGTGAGTTTTCACAGCGAAAACTACCAATACTGCCATAACAATGGCAAACATCTAAAAACTAAAACAGAAAGATATTTATTGGTATGTTATTATTAACAACTTATATGTATTTCGTTCGAAGATTCTTCTTTCTATTCTTATGTAAATATTAAATACTTAAAAATGTAATTTATTAGATATGTCACGCTATTTTACAAAACTTTCAGTCAGTTTGCGTTTGGTAAAAATTCAAAAGATATCAGCAACTGCATCAAAATGGCGGGAAGTCCCATTTTATCATGACAGTGATACCAACTGAAGAATACATTTCTTCCATAAACACAGACAGTGCGCCCAGTATATTTTAATTATAACGTGTGCGTTTACTCTTTGGGGACGCCTGCTTTTATTACGAATAAGATTATGTTTTGTTTCCCGACATATTTATTCTAAAGTATAAAAAAAGAATGCAAACCAAGATAATTTATGATTATAGCATTGATTAATTTATTATTCATTTTCAGTAGTGAAATCTAAGATAAAAATGCATTTTGTCGACTGATAAAAGTGACAAATGATAATTATAAAAGAAAATATACTGGGCACACTGTTGCATTGTTGTCGATGGTCAGGTGATTTTTTACAATAGATTGTGAACAGAGCGATTTATTGTTCATGGAGTGATTAAAATAAAACATGACTAAGTACATAAGTGTTATCTACGTAATAATTATCTTATAATAACAGCAATATTTTACTTCCGTTAATAGGGATGATGACTGTGTATGAAAATTAAAAATCTATTCAGTCCGTCAGTATACATAACATAACATCACGCCTTTTTATCCCCGAAGGGGTAGGCAGAGGTGTACATTACGGCATTTAATGCCACTGTACCATGTAACACCCACTTTCCACTATTTATGTTATGAGTCCTATGTAATAGGGGGTGAGCCTATTGCCATATACCGGGCACAATTCCAGAGTCTGTGCTACTACTGAGATATCTTTTAAAACCCAGCAATACTTTGCCCTACCCGGTTTCGACCCGAGACGCTTTGCCCGAGTCGCACTTGCGACCACTCGGCCAACGAAGCAGTCTAATAATATACCTCTAGTATAATAAATATAAGATAATATACCTCTAACAGTAGGTATAGATAAGTAGATATTAATTTAATCACCGATGCCAATGCAGTTAAATAGGTACTGCACCTGTATCTTTGCTTCATTTAAATAACTTTAGGGGATTCCACAATTTCTCTCGGTATCTAAGTACTAATTATTTACATGACACATACACAATACACATATGACGTCACACCCTTGCCATTGATGTTGGCAAATACAATGGTACGCCAAATTTTTTTCACATTTTAATTATTTACAGGAGCCGACCAGTAGCGGGAGCATGGTCCAAGCTACCGGTGGTTAGGGCTCCAGAGACAGAAACCTCCTCACGATACGTGCCGTTTCAAGGAGAACTGCCTTCTGTATCAGGCCCTTGACCCAACTACCTAACGCTAGCCTCCTAAGGTGGTTGTCGAGGCTATTAGGGATTAACCCATTGGCCGATACGACTATCGGCACAATGATAGCCGAATCTACATTCCACATGTCGACAACCTCGTGAGCCAAATCAAGATATTTGATTTGTTTATCTTTTTCAGCTTTCACGAGGTTCTCATCATGAGGAATAGTGATATCGATTATCATCGTGCGGCGCAGTTGTCGGTTTATCACCACTATATCAGGTTTGTGGGCTATAATAGTCCTGTCAGTGATGATAGACCGGTCCCAGTACAACGTGATATGGTCATTTTCCAGAACTGGGTCGGGCACATACTTGAAGTACGGTATCTCAGACTCAACAACTCGATTATTTACATCATTTCATTAGTCAGTAGTTAGTTAGTTAGGGATAAGCCGGAAAAGGTGCAGGCGGTGTACCTGAGGGTAAGCAATCGTACACGCATGGATACACGAAACACTCGAAAGTGTTACAAGTGAGTTAGCAACATTTTAGCGGTTAGGAATTTGAGGAATTGGATATTGGATAGATTGGACAGGGGGTAATAGGGATGACGGGTACAAAAATTAAAAACCTAATTAGTCCGTTAGTTAGGTAATGAACATAACATAACATAACATCACGCCTTTTTATCCCCGAAGAGGTAGGCAGAGGTGCACATTTCGGCACTTAATGCCACTGTACAATGTAACACCCACTTTTCACTATTTATGTTATGAGTCCCATGTAATAGGGGGTGAGCCTATTGCCATATACCGGGCACATTTTTCCAGACTCCGTGCTACTACTGAGATTTATAAAAACCCAGTAATACTTTGCCCGACCCGGGAATCGAACCCGAGACCCCTCACCCGGCAGTCGCACTTGCGACCACTCGGCCAATGAGGCAGTCAATTAGGTAATGAAATGAAAAGATATTATGATATTAGACATGTTTTTTTTAATTTGTTGTGTTAGGTTACAATACTTAGGGTTGATTTTTCCAATGCCAGATAAATTTTAACCGAGGAAAAACTTTGATAATTTGACAATTCTTCCATACTAAAAACTGTTAAATGTCAATTAAAAATTAACCGATGATTGAAAAATCGGCCCTTAGAAAAATCGAATCAAAGTTTAGAAGTGCGAGCTAAAACGTCATTTCTACGTATAAAATGTACCTAGAACTGACGTCACCCGATACTACAAATCAATATATCGTCGAAAGTAGGTACTTATTTGTTTCTGTAAGAAAATAAAATATACGTGTCTAATGTTTTAAAATAATCTACCAGACGGACATTGAAATAAAAAATCAGTCATACCCACCCTATTGGACCTCACTCACACGACGAAACACAACACAAGCGTTGTTATACGTGAGTTTTCTGCTCGGTATCTCTGCTCCGTGCAGTCGTGCCGAAGCATGGCTCTCCCATACTTATTACTTACCTGATAAATTCTTGACTAAAGATTAATTTTACAGGTTTTCATCTGTCCGTGGTACGCTGCAAGGCAAGCTTGAAGAACGTTTAGCGTTTATGGCCGTACGTTTACCTGATAGGATGCAACGGTCCCAGCCGTACGCCCAAATGAACTTGGAACAAAACGCCGCCGTCCTGACCACGCCCCACGACGTGTACGCCACGATCGTCGACGTTCTAAAATTGCCGCAACATAAGAATCCCTACAAAATCCCCGGGGCTGACTTCCCCAGAGGAATGTCTTTAATTGAACCGGTAGGTACCTAATTATTATTTTTTACTTAGACACTACATTTTATTTTTAACTAGCTTTTACCAGCGGCTTCGGCTCGCGTCACAAAAGGATAAAAAGCCAATGTGACATATACCAATACACACAGCGCCATCTATACCAATCATTTCATTTTCCCTCTAGAATATCAAATTTTTTCCGGGGTAAAAAGTACTCTATTATTTAATCCGGACTGCTAACTTTACGTCTGCAAAAATTCAAAGCAATCGGTTTAGTAGTTACGGCGTTAAAGTGGAACAAACAAACAAACAAACAAACAAACAAACTCACATTCCGATTTATAATATAAGTAAGGAATATAAGTAACGATTATCATTGAAATGTCGTGGTAACTCGGAAGTTTAAGACGCTTCCCTAAAGGTGCGGTTTCGAAACCAACCAACGGCAAGTACCAGTGTCACTTTTTCCCGAGTTATATGTACTTTCTAAGATTATTCAGACATCCCTGACAAACGGTGGAAGAAAACATCTTGAGGGAACCTGGTCTTATAGTTTGTAATTACAGGTTTGAAATCGCCAACCCGCATTGAGCAAGCGTGGTGACTAATGCTTGACCCGTCGAGCATCCGCGTTCCGTATGCATTTCCTTATCCTTAGGCATGCAAGAAAATGCATTTATTTGGCCATTGGCACACGAAAACAAGGATCATTACAATAGAAATAAAACAAATACAGTCAAAATAAAAACAAAACATTAATAATAGATTTTATAAACGAGAAAACAGCATGGAGCATTTTTTGTTATGATCCACCGGGTGCTCATAAAGACGCTCGAGGGGTTAAACCTTCTCCGTGTCAGAAGATGATGACCAGAATTGTGTTTTTTTAATACCGTCATGTCTTTTATGTCATAGGCATACCTTTGCCTATGTGCCTGCACATAATGGCTCATAATGCCAAATATATGTATAATGAACCATTTTTCACCAGGTATGTGGTGACTATGAGTCCCATTTAATAAGGGGTAAAACCTGTTACCATTACAATTTTCGAGCCAGTTCATTTGTGCTGAAGCCTGGTAATCTCACGTGTATTCTGTAACGTGACACACAGACAGACAGACTGACATTAAGGCCAGATTACCCCCTCCCCCGTTCCCAATCCCCGAGTCTCCAAAAATCCTCAAATTCCTAATCCCCAAAAGGCCGGCAACTCACTTATCACGCCTCTTTTGTTTCGGGTGTCCATGGGCGGCTCCGATTGCTTACCATCAGGTGGTCCATCAGCTCGTTTACCGGCTTATCCCATTAAAAAAAGTGTCTCTCTGTTTCAGATCCCCAAGAACAGGTCGTGCAGTGAAGCTGGCATTCAGCCGCATTGGTGTGCCTGTGTCAACTGGAAAAATGTCACCGACTCCTCCATGATACAGAGAACCGCTGAAGCATTCGTTAACTACATCAACCAGCTCACTGAACCGCAAAGGTAAATACAGCACAGCGATATTTGTAAAAAGGATTTTAAACCGTAAAGTCGGTTATGTAAGAAGGAAGTTCTCAGTTGACCTGTATGTATGTATGTATGTATGTATGTGCAGGATTATCTTGCTATAGGCTGAACCGATTTTGATGCGGTTTTTAGATAAGTGTTTTTAAGAGGTTCTAGTATATTAAATTAATATAATGAAGTCGGTTAATTAATACTATTAATTAATTAATTAATATTATTAATTAATTACTTACATAATGGGGATGATGACAGGGTATGAAAATTAAAAATATAATTAGTCCGTAAGTTAGGTAAAGAAAAAATATTAGACACGTATTTTTTTATTTTGTCGTATAATAAAACAATACTTAGATAAAACGAATCAAAGTTTAGGAGTGGGGGCTAAAACGTCATTTCTTAGTATAAAATGTACTGAGAAGTGACGTCACGCGACATTTCAAATCAATATATCTTCGAAACTATTCGTTTCTGTGAGAAAATAAAAAATACGTGTCTAATGTTTTTAAATAATCTACCAGACGGACATTAAAATAAAAATTAGTCGTCTACCCTATTAATAATAGAAATGGTTATTGGTCGCTTAGAGGACATGATGAAAACTACTCCGAAATTAACCGACTTAAAAAAAGGGAGGGGAGTTGAATTCGGTTTTTTTAAACGTATTTTAATGAGCTTAATTCCACCAATCAAGCCCTTTTATTTGGTATACATAATGAAGGTAGTTGTGAATAAAAATTTACTGTATTTATATTATCATCAATATTAAGAGTGTGTACCAAATATCAGATCGACCTGTCGGCAGGAAGAAGCTGGAATTCCAATTACCAACTTTTGACCCAAACAAACAAACGGGCCAAGCTAATGAAAACCCATTAATAAATCCTTGTTACTCTTTCACCAAAAACTACTACTACTACTTTAACTAAAATTTTGTACTGATGTAGACTATTGTCACGAAAATTTCACAATATTACATTCACATAAATGCGGCAATTGCATGGACGCGTGTGAATTATGAACGATACTGTACTGCTTTCCAAACTAAACCATAAGTTTGTATTTTGGAAAACAGTGAATGAGATGTCACAAGGTCCCATTATATGTCGCTCAATAATGAAGTTAATGTCACATAACACATAGGCTACTTTTTTAACCACGGGAACCCGAATATACTAGCAACCCGCCCCGGCTTCGCACAGATGCAATATGCATGTATTATACATATAAAACTTCCTTAAGAATCATTCTATCTATAAAAAAACCACATCATCCGTTGCGTAGTTTTAAAGATCTAAGCATACATAGGGACAGACAGACGGCGGATAGCGACTTTGTTTTATACTATGTAGTGATTTATTGACTTTTTATATTATTTCAGATCACTATGTGTTCCGCGTACTTTGAAAGAAATTAAGTGGGTCATGGTGCAAGCGCCGAACAAAGATGTTCTCTCATTTGGGGGCGCAAAAGACAATGATGGCTACTTGGCAAAGTTCGGAAAGGCTATAAAAGTATCGAAACAAACTTATCAAGTCCAGGTTTGTATCTCTCAGTTTATGTTTTATGGTACGAGCAGACGGATCATCTGATGGTAAGCAATCGGCGCCGCCCATGGACACCCGAAACACCGGAGGTGTTGCATGTTCGTTACCGGCTTTTGGGGATTAAGAATTTGAGGATTGTTGGGATTGAGGAGATTGGGGAGGGGGATGGTAATTAGGCCTCCGGTAACATCACTTTCATGACGAAACACAACGCAAGCGTTGTTTCACATCGTTTTTCTGCTCGGCTGTGGTATCACTCCGGTCGAGCTGGCTCATTCGTGACGAAGCATGCTCTCCCACACTTAAATGGTAGTAGCGAGAAATTCAGAGAATTGTTTCGGCGTTTCTTCTTAGAGTTCGAGTTCCGGCTCGAAGTGCAGGAGTAGGAGCGGGGTGGTTTTTAGTCAGTAAGAGTCTGACACTCCCTCTCGCCTCACCCAGGCGGGAGAAATAATTGGACAATTTTACCTCCTTAAAAAAAATAATGAAGAGTACCGGTGTACGTGAACTACGTGCCGTCGTGACGTCATCCTGCTTATGAATGATAATGGTATCCATTTTCAGGTGGCTGTGGGCCCAGGATATGGAGTTTATGAAGCATCAATGACATATTTGGTGTATGAAGACAAATTCATTATGGATTCAAGAGATATTTCACGAACTAATGTGTAAGTCTTATCTATATCTATACTTTTTATTTATTTTTAGTTACGCCTTTTGTCCCCGAAGGAGTAAGCAGAGATGCATATTACTGCACTTAATGCCACGGTAAAATGTACGGTAAAACACCTACTTTTCACTATTTGTGTTATTGAGCCCCATATAATAGGGGGTGAGCCTATTGCTATATACCGGGATAAGATAGGACTAAATAAAAGGGCATTGACTAAAATTGGTGCCTTTCTTTTTTCTGGCGGCAGTCGATGATTTATGAAAAATATTATCTAGAATATCATTACAAACGAAATTGTCTATGGGCTCATATATGGAAATCTCAGTCTGGACTGAGTTATGAGCGTTGAAAGGAGCTGGAATCAAACATTTTACTTTTGTTGTTTTATTCAAATTATTCATATTTTTGTCACAATTCCTAACTTCAAATTGCGCGCCACTGTACGCCGGGCACAGAAACACCAAATCACACCACAATATATCCATATTGCCAGTCGATAATTTTTATTAGCTATTTTCTCCAGTCGATAACTTGTGGGATGCTTCTAGGAGTTGTGTCATGAAGCTTCATGAGTGTCAGCTGTGGTACCGTTGGTGGGTTGAGTAGTAGTAGCCGTCCAAACATCTAATAAAGTATTTTTTTGCCGTTGACTCCTGGTGGGAGACTCATCTACTTTATAGTTAGCATAATTTTTTGAAAAAAGCAAACCGTCGACTTAGTAAAGTGATGGACTATACGTCAGATGAGCGCATAATTTTTCATATAATGTGATCATTCGAAATGCATCACTTTGTGACTGAATGACGATGTCTTTGTACAGAATCTTATGCTAGATGTAGATTAAAGTATTAACTGTAGTTAGATTAGTTACTAATCGGAAGTAAGTCAGGAGAAGTAGACATAAAAATGATTTTTTCGTGTTTTGATGACTGTTACTACTCAATCCGCTACCGACGCCGCAGCTGACAAACATAGCATTTCATGATAGAGCTCAGTAAAGTATTTTGCGGGTTTTTGACTGAGAGGAAATTGATCATGAAAATCTGTCATAGGCCATAAACCGTATACATATAAATTGAACATGCTAGTCAATCAAACGAAATGTTTTTTTTTCTTCAGCAATGGTCAGTTAATGGATCACTCTGTTCTGAATCCGTGGCCTTATAACAAAAAAAAAAGAAATAAACAAAAAAAATAATTATAAAAGTCCATAATAAGCTTTATTATATTCCTTAAAATCGTCTATAAACATTTATTACAAAATATTTCTGACAAGTAAATGAAGAAATATGCGATGTGTACGGTCACCATCAACAAAATCAAAGGAATTATATAGCACTATTTTCACATCTTTGAACTGATTTAACTCGGTTTGGACTGTGTTTTTGATATAAGACCCCATACATTTTTTTATTTGTAATGTTATTCTGCATCTATTTTTCCACATCCGATCAACTGCCGCGAAAAAATTAAAAGACACCACGCTCCATACAAATTTGGTCATTGTCATTTAAAAGAGTAGCGACGGATTAACTAAAAATCGCGGGTTACTCACGTGAATATACTGAGAAAAGCTCTACTAGTTTCGAACCACAGAGGGGCTCCTCCTCACGAGCAGCGTGCGCGGTCGCCGCGACCCCGATACGTACGTGCGTACCCCGAGTAACCCGCGATTTTTAGTTAATTTAGTATGTCTCACGATAGTTATTATAAAAAACACAGTAACGATGGAATTTCTTCCTCGTTATTCTCCATTCGAAACTACACTTTGGAACGAGCGGCTCACTTTACAGCTAGCCACTTTTCACTATTTATGTTATGATTCCCATGTAATAGGGGGGAGCCTATTGCCATATACCGGGCACAATTTCAGACTCCGTGCTACTACTGAGAATATTTAAAAACCCAGTAATACTTTGCCCGAGACCCCTTGCCCGGCAGTCGCACTTACGACCACTCGGCCAACGACGCAGTCAGGCAGTTATTGTTTTATGTCTGACGTTTTTAATTTTCTCTTTACAGATATGGGGACGAACCGAAATGTATAAGCGCTACCCATCCACATCTAAACATGTATTGTTATTGTAAAAAGTAAAATAATTGAATTTAAAGTGGTAAGCACAAAATAGCTATTAATCTTATACTGCCGTACTCAATGTAATGTTAACTTAAACTATTTCCCTAGTAATTTTGTACCGAAAACTATATATATGGCAGTTTCCTAATAGGGTAGTTTCCTAAATTTTATTTTAATGTCCGTCTCGTACATTAATTTAAAACTTTAGACACGTATTTTTTCTTTTCTTACAAAATTAAATAGTTTCGACGATATATTAATTTGAAATATCGTGTGACGTCACAGCGTGCCACATTTTGTAGAACGTTATGACGTAACAACCTCCCACTCCTAAACTTAGCTTAGCGCCATTTTATCTAAGTATTGCAACTTAATACGAGAAAATAAAAAAATACGTGTCTAATATTTTTTCATTATGTAACTGACGGACTAATTAGATTTTTAATGTTGATACCCTGGAAACTACCCAATTTATTTTATGTCCGTCTTCTAGATTAGGGTAAAGCTAAGGATACACCAAATGTCCCACGAAATGCATCGGTGACATGTTAAGCGAAGCCTATATGTTACAAGGCGACAACGCGCGCCTTATGTCCACAGCGAAGTTGCTGTTGCTAGACATGTCGACCAAAGTCCAGCAACATCGCGATACTTCACCCAACGTCGCTGGCGACGCGTGTCGCAAGACATTTGTTCCCTAGTGTATCCTTGGCTTAAAACAATAGACACGTATTTTTTCTTTTCTTACAAAATTAAATATTTTCGACTATATATTGTATTGAAATATCGTGTGACGTCACAAGTTGCTACGTTTTATAGGAACGTGGGACGTAGCGAATATTCAGATGAAAATTTCATTTGAGTATTGTTTTTTGTGTAACAAAATAAAAAAGAAATCGTGTTTAATATTTTTTCATTGTTAACTGATGGAGTAATTTCTTAAACTGTCTACTACCCAATTACAAAGGGCTTGGTTAAGTAGCCATTAAATGACAGAGTTGAATGAAACTACAGAATAGGTTAGTACAGTGTATGAAAATTAAAAATCTAATTAGTCAGTCAGTTAGATAATGAAAAAATATTAGACACATATTTTTTTTATTTTGTCTTATAAGAAAACAATATTTAGATAAAACAGAGTGAAGTTTAGGAGTGGGAGGTCGTTACGTCACGATACCTTCTTAATTTTGAAAATCAATATATCGTCTAAAGTAATTAATTTTGTAAGAAAATAAAAATACGTGTCTAATGTCTTAAAATAATCTACCAGACGGACATTGAAATAAAATTTGGTATACTACCCTATTAATGATCTCTCAATAATGTATTTAAAAATTGTAATAATTTCAATTTAGTGTCCGTAAAATCTAGATCTACTTAATACTGCGTCACATATGTGTCTTACGCCCGAATACTGAAATGCTACTCAATTTTAGCTATACGTACTTAAATGTCGTGCTATCCCTGTCTTTTACACGATCTCCGGCCACCGAAGGTCGGACGGCGAGCATGGGTGGCTCCCCGTCCGACCAGAAACAGACCCGAGCGTACGGCGCCGAGCGTTCCGCGCGCGCCTCAAATAGCCATCAGACCACCAACAAAGCCGATGCCGATTCGGTGTCGCGGAGAACCTAACGGGTAACCGGGGCTCCGGCCCGACGTGCAGGAGAAGGAACGGGGTGGTTTTTAGTCAGTAAGAGTCTGACACTCCCTCCCGTCTCACCCAGGCGGGAGAAGTCATTCGATGATTTTCCCCCCTTTAAAAAAACCCTGTCATTATTAGAAAGACTTTGTAGTGACAGAACTATTATTGTAAGCGTCATAAAAATTGAGTAGCGTGTGAGTATTTGTACACGAACGTCGGAATTTATAACCGTTCTTAATTTAAAATCTTTCGATCGATTTGTTTTATGATAGAATCTCCATATAACTAAAGTAAAAACTTGATCTGAATTAGTTGTTTAAAAAATGGTGCTTTTATTTTTTACACGCCACACACTAGGATTTAATACCGTGTCGTGGGTGCATTTACAAACATACAAGTTCACATACACATGACACACAGACCCGGAACCACAATTTGTGGATCACACAAAGAGTTGCTCCGTGAATCGAACAGGCTACATGTTGCACGACAGCAACTATTACTGTCATAATATTATAAATGCGTTTGTATGTTCGTGTGTGTGTTTGTTCCACAATAACATCAAAACGACTCAAGGGATTAGTATGAAATTCGGAAGAGGCGTAGATTATGGCCTTAAAAACATAGGCTACTTAAATATTATACTGAGTGCCAAACACGAATAACTATCGCATTCGTAACGTAATAGTATCGAGCGCGTCCGGCGTTCTGATTGGCCGGCTCAAGTGAACCAACCAATCAGAACGCTTAACTCGCTCGATACGGTTACGATACGAATGCGATAGTTATTCGTGCTTGGCACTCTGAACTCAGTCGCAGCGTCACGGGTCGCGAAATGCTAGGTTTATATACAGCTTATGTCTAAATTATGCCTTTAATACACAACTACTAGCTATCGAACTGACCTAACGATTTTAAAAGAAGATGTAATACGTATTTTAACGAAATAGTTTATTTTATATCAATGGTGCATTTTTTATTAGATACATAATAATATATTAGTATTAAGTGTATTTTTTTTGTAATCTTACTTGTTGCCAATTGCTTTTTGCTTTTTGTTTTTAACACTTTAACTACCAAGTATAATACGGTGAAAATGAAACCTGGGCCTCAAGTCTGCTCATTAGTAGATTACTAAACTTGTCAAAATCAACAATTTTGAAATCAATGATGGATCATTTTGACACTATTATAATAGCAGACTTGAGGCCCTGCAGTAGCGTCAGACACTGATGACTGACGTGGCATGCTAAGGGTTAATTTAATTAATCTTAGATTGTTGAATAATTTATGTACAAATATTTACATCACAACCCGTTATGGTCCACCGACTGGTCTTAGACTATGGGCCTCCTCTATATAGAAGGGGCTTAATATAATCTACCAACTCAAGTTTTTAAACCCCGTTTCCAACAACCTCTTCTATTTTTAAGGAATCCTTAACCTAAGATAGCTTTAACTTCATTTTCGCCTACCTATAAGTTATGGGTCATCCATAAATTACGTAACATGAATTTCATGATTTCTTACCCCTCCCTCCGTCCTTGTAACAGCTAGTCACATTTGTGAGACCCCCACCCCCCTAGTGTGACGTCTCATTTTGCAGAATTACGTATGTATAAAAATTAATAAAGAAAAACGGCGGTTCGGAAATCCGATTTATACGTATTTAAATTACTTTAAAAAATATATTAATACCAAATCAAACAAAATAAAAAACATTAATACAAATATATTTCTTGTTTTATAATAGTTTTTGAAATGTGACATTACAAAGTTTAGGATCCCTCCCCCTCCCCCCTTGTCACACTTCGTCGACCCCTCCCTACCCCTTAACGTGTGACGTAATTTATGGACGGACCCTAAGTGTCATCTACCAGTACAAGTGAGGGATTAGTTTAGGTGCTACGCTACTAACTTTTAGCTAAGTGTTGGTTTAGGAGTGGCTGATGGAAACGGACATAACGACTTGATTATTTCTTTAATGTTCTTAGCAATAAGACTTTAATTGTTAATCCAAAGTATTTTATGCTTTTTTAAATTATTGTTATTTTTATTTACTTTATCAGTATATTCATTACTATTTAACTTAATAATATTATGTTTAAATAATAGATTAATCTCGAATATAACCAAAGGAATGTTAAGGTCTCCGTAATAGCGAGGGAGGAATACTTTGTAGTTTGTACCGCGGAAAGAACGCAAGGCCAGCGAATCGCGGAATGCTGCTCATGAATATGAGCCCTCGCATGACTTGGAACTAGCCGAGTTCCTCGTCAAACAGTTACGTGAGTAAGCTGAAAACATAATAATTAACAAAGAAATCTCATAAAAGATTTAATAATGCCTTATATTAGAACTTATATAGGAATATTATGTATTAATTGGGTAGTCTCCACAGTCGAAAACTAAGAAAGAACATTTATTCAGCACTAGGCACAATAAAAAAGACAATAAAAGTGAAATAGAAGAATTAGAAGAGAGACGCTGACAACATATTAAAGTAAAAAGTTCTAAGTACATATTAAACATTTTGAATACAATTAAATGTCAATAAATATTTTTTTTTTCATAATAATACTTATTACACATAGGAGCCAAGAAACGGCGTCACTAGCATTTTTTTTTCATTTGTCGAACCACTACGACAACTTAAAAAATCCTTTTACAACTAAATACTCTCATTTTACAAGTAATTGCCTTTCATACGACATACGTTACCAATTAACCGGTGACTGTTCTCCACTAACTCAATAATATAGGCCTTAATTCCCTCGCGGAGAACCTAACGGGTTACCGGGGCTCCGGCTCGACGTGCAGGAGAAGGAACGGGGTGGTTTTTAGTCAGTGAGAGTCTGACACTCCCTCCCGCCTCACCCAGGCGGGAGCAGTCATTCGATGATTTTACCCCTTAAAAAAAAGACCTTAATTCCGATGTTTAGAGACTACTTTTGTATGAACACATTTTCGGTTCGATATAAAGACTTATTAAGGTGCATGCCTACATAGACCTCGCCATACATTTTTCAGGTGTGGAAATCTCCGTAAATAAATAGTTTCTGCAGAATAAAAGCAACTATAATAAGACTTTATAATGTATTATGTTCGCGTATGGCCCTAATTTTATAAAAAAAAACAATATATCTAGGAGAATTAGACCGAATAAAAAACGAAGATCCGAAAATATTTATCAAGAAAAAAGAAATGCTAGTGGTTACGTTTATTTATTTCCAAGTGTATATTTGAATTTTAGCAATAATGATATTAGAATCAAATTTTGACGTATTTTTTTTCTAAAAACGAAAATGTATTGAGTTTGACTGGGCGGGAACTACCTGAACTATTTTAAGTACATAGTATTTTGTCACTGTCGCAACACATTCGGAGAATAAAAATTAAATTTTAAATTAAAATTCTAGTCCAAAAAAGAGCTAATTAAGTATTTCACTATTCGAGTATGATTTTGTATCAATTAAGTATTGTTTTATTAATTTAGGTATAGTACATATATTTTCAAATATTTTTTTATTTATTTTCTATATGTGTCTTATACATTTTTAAATAAGTAAATTAAAATTATTCTTATGTATTACTTGGTCTCGAATTTTTTCATTCTAATCGTTTTTATATTACGCTTTAACTTAAACATATAAGTAAGATATTTTTAAATTTTCTCAGTATGATCATACAATCTGGAATAATGTAAAATCGTTCTATTTTTTACCACTAGATGGCGCTAATCTGAATTGATACAAGCACGTAAATTAGCTATCTTGGAAAAATGGCAACCAACAACAGTTTTTTTGTCATATCCCTTTTCCTGTGCAGTTTAGTAAGAGCACGTCAAATACTACAATACTACAATATTTTCAAAACTCGCAGAGAACATTCCAGGTAGAACTACCGAATGACTGAACTATAAACGAATTTGTTTCACATTTAACGAGATCGAAAGGTGTTTACCCACACAGTAGTTATATAACATTATACCACATTTGATAACATGATAACATCGTGTAACATACTCTGTAACATGTCAATTTACTACTACAACTTTTGTTATAAATTGGATATATTCAAAAATAATTTATTTCTACTGTTCAATACAATAAAATATTAAAAAATAATAATTTAATTTTAGTATTTTTCCTGCAATTTTTTAAGAAAAAGTATGCTGTTTGACGTTAAGAAAACGTGACGTCACAATATACAATGTCGTACAAAATTCATAGTAAACTGTCGTTTTCGACAGTTCGAAAAAAGTATTCAATTTGACTAGTTGGCAAGTACCCAATTGTTAAAAAACAAATGTCGAGTCAGTCTCTAGCGTTATATAACAGGTGCCAAGCACGAATAACTATCGCGTTCGGCGCTCTGATTGGCCGGCTCGAGTGAACCAACCAATCAGAACGCTTAACTCGCTCGATACTGTTACGATACGAATGCGATAGTTATTCGTGCTTGGCCCTCTGCTGTGTTTGCACCTTAACGTTACCGCTGATTGTGTGGTTCATTGGAACCGGGCAATCAGAGTGCAGAACGCCCAGGCCAATCAGGAGCGTGGAACGCCGATCTGTCAAATTTCCATTTGGTTGGTTCATTCTGTCAAAGTCCTACTCACTAGCGAAAATGTGTTTCACGTTTCACGTATAAAATTTTACTAGGCTTGGCATTTGAGTTACCTTTCGCTAGCGTGAGTAATCGTATTTAAAATGGTTAACGTGTATGAATACTTTATATTTCGTATCTATCTATATAGGTACATATATTTTTATATATTCCTGTTTTGTGACTTTTTAATGCTTCTTTATAACTAATTTTAAGCAAATTCCTATTGTTTTGATGTAAAAGCACTGTTTTTGTACTGCACTGTTTTAATTTAAATGTTTTTGTAGGTTAACAATAGTTGTATATAGGATCATTTTGGTTACATTTAGTAATACATACTTTTACATACTTTAATATTTTTCACGAAATCAAATTGGTCTACCAAAGTCAAACCATGTTTCAATGGGGGGGGGGGGGGCTACCGATCACATTGTCCAATCACTGGTCTCAAAATTAACTTAAAATATTCTATGAATATATTATCATCCCTTTTATAATTATAAACAAATATGCTAAATTAACTAAAAATCGCGGGTTACTTTAACTCGTCGAGTACCGGTTTTATAGACACAATTAAAGAACAATAGGTCGCGGTCACCGGTGACCGCTTGGTATTTGACAGTTTAATATACTGAGAAAAGCTATACTAGATTCGAACCACAGAGGGATTCTTCCTCATGAGCGGCGTGAGCGGTTGCGGCGATGTCGCGCAGCATACTATATGCTGCGCCGCGACCGCGTTCGAAACTAGTAGAGCATTTCTCAGTATATTCACGTGAGTTACCCGCGATTTTTAGTTAATTTAGTATGTCTCACGAAAGTTATTATAAAAACTTACAATAATGCTATTTGTTATCGATGAGAGAAACAAAATTGCATCCAATTTAAAGACATACATAGGTTTATTGCTAAGGCTGTGGTATTTAGAATTTAGTAAATGAAAATTCCACCCCGGAATTCAACACAGAACCTTGTATTGCACTTAATATTGTAGACAACCTTTAAAACGGCAGTCAAAAAACCATTTACATTTCTATTATTGGTTTATAATCTATGACACTAGGTAATTCTCTATTGGATGAATATACTAGGGCTCATACTAGTGCCATCTAGTGATAAAAAAACGGTACCTCCCCCCCCCCCTTACTAAACACAATATTATAGGGCCTGGGTAGATGGCGTTTTTCTGTCCACTGTGGATAAACCGGAAACCTTAGGTAAAGATCCTTAGATAACTTGATTCCCTTACGTTATGGAGTACTTGGTTTGACATCTACTCTCAGTTCTTTTTATAGATAATTCAATGTAACAGCTAAAACAATTTGACTTTTCTACTTTAATATGTCACAAAATTATATTTATCTAGAAATTTTGAGATCTTGATATTTAATTTTGGTTGATAGTTTGTAATTATTGTTAAATAATGAGGGAAAATCTATGCTAAGATACCTTTATTTAAGCAACGCAGGCCTGAACTGGAACTCGAAACAAGGAGCTTTAGCATCTAATTTGTAATATTTCATGTGTCAACATAAGAATTGTATAACCATGTAAATTGTATATTTCATTAGCTAGTAAATAATAAAAGAAAGAAGTAAAACACATTTGTTTCATTTTATACCATTTTGTCTTTATTTTTTGTTCTTGCACTTAGGATTTTTTAAGGGGGGAAAATCATCGAATGACTGCTCCCGCCTGGGTGAGGCGGGAGGACAGAGTGTCAGACTCTTACTAACTAAAAACCACCCCGTTCCTGCTCCTGCGCTTCGAGCCGGTGCCCCGGTACTTCGTTAATTTCTCCGCGACGTTGCACTTAGGATTAGGATTGAATTATTCATGTCTCCGGTAGAGCAGTGTTACTGGATTCTTTGGTTTCAGAATAAAATTTCAGACGGTTCATCAATAGTAGCATGAAATCTAAAATAACGACTGACTGGTGTCAGTAGTCAATATTCAAAACACAAGTCATGTTAAAATTGGTTAAAGTCTAAAAAATCCCCGGGTGCAGAGGTGCACATTACGGTATAAATGCCACAGTATAATGTAACACCCACTTTTCACTAGTGGACCCATTCCCATGTAATAGGGGGTGAGCCTATTGCCATATACAAAATTCCAGATTCCGTGCTACTACTGACATTTTTTTTTAAAACCCAGTGATACTTTGCTCAACTCAGGAATCGAACCCGAGACCCCTTGTCCGGCAGTCGCACTTGCGACGACTCGGACAACGAGGCAGTCAATAATGAGGTTTTCAAAATAGTCAATAGTCGTAAACGGTGATCGTAGACAGCAGTGGCGGCTGGGATGACGAATAGGGCAATCGCCCTGGGCCTCAAACTACAACTGTTCTACTCGTCGATAGCTCGGGAATCCTGTGTATCAAAGTTTTATTTATTTGGAATAGCGTTAGCGACTTTAGCATTTGTTGACAAACATGACATATACCTAAACCAAACAACTAGAGCTACTTTCGCATTAATCTCGTACAGCTTGGCAAAAAAGAGTTTGGAATAATTGAGGTCGCTAGTTTCGACTCTGTGACAAACTGGTACATTACACTTATTTGGTTTAGATATTTGTTATTTTTATCGAGGTTAAAAAGATGAGATACTATGTTCGGATTATTGTTTATTCATGGGATATGGTCCGAAGTGAGTGATTCAATCCAAGTCAATATTAGTTCCAGCTGTCACCGTGACAATTTTTTTTTCCAAGTTGAACTTTTCATTAGCGACAAAACACCTCGCAAAGACCTTCGCCTTCACCTCGCAATAGATACCATACAACATATTCCCTCTATTTAATAAAATAAAGTTGCAATTTGTAGATTTTTGGATTTAATTCCCTCGTTCTTTGTGAACTCTTCTCTTTTTCAGATAACGCTTACCTAAACTTGATTTTTAAATTACGTTTCGTTAATTTTAATGCAGTTCGAAGGCTATAAAATATCCAATTTTAATTTTTTTTCAAGTCACGATCATTTAGTAAACACAGAATTTAAGTTTACAATTTAGTTTAAAGACAAGATGTAATAGAGAACAAACTTACCGGAAACATTTACAAAACGCCTCTGATGGCGAAAAAAAAGTACTAAAAAATGTTAAAAACGTAATGGTGGCTGCTTGCGGCCCATTCCATTGCTGACAACATTATTTATGAAATCGTGTGAAAACCTTCAAAAACTAAAATTTTGCCCGAAGATTGTTGGATTAAACGATCAGGTAAATGGATTTTATGAAGATTTCTTGTGATTTTTCGCTGTAATTGTAATTGTATAATATCTAGATCAACAAAATGGCTGCTGTATTGTATGAAATAGCAATGAATACTATTATTCATTGATTAAATTCCTTAGTTTTACTCGTAAAATAGTAATGTCTTTGAAATTATCAATAACTGATAACAATGTAAACAATGGGTAAAACTGTTAATTTTCTAAAATTTAATTCTATTTAATGCCAAAGTAATTACAAAAAAATGTGTCATTCGATTATCGTATTTGAGAGAAATTATTTCACTACAAATTTATGATTAAAACACTACTTTTGAAACTTTGCCTTGTAACTTTGTCTATTTACTTCGTCCAGCACATTCGTTTAAAATATTTTCTGTCTATTTTAAGTTAAAAATAAATGTTAGTGATTAGTAATAGATGAGATAAAATATATTATAAACCTTCCAATAAAATAGGTCTAGTACAATACAATAAAAAATTGTTTTCTAATATCTTTCCTTATCTATGTAATCTATAAGAATTCCTGTAAAATACTCTGTAATCAAATAATTTCTGTGATTGTTAACGAGAGGGTCTGTAATTATGACTTGCATTTCGGACCACCTTTTTAGTGTGCATTATAGATGCAACAAATACTCGAATACTTTATGTTAAAACTTTTGTGAAACATACTTAATGAAATATTATGTTTTTGGCCTTCTCACGTAACTGTTTGACGAGGAACTCGACTAGTTTCAAGCTATGCAAGTGGTTCATAATCATGAGCCTCTAGAAACTAGTAAAGTTAGCCGAAAACATAATAATCAACTCGAATACTTGTTGTGAAGAACATTGGCACTTTGAATTGGTATGAAATAAAACAATGTAACTTGATTCATTGTCATTGACATCAATTAACCCACTGCCGACATGTGTTTAATGATACAAGATCTATTCTAGAATACAAACTATTACAACTTCACACAGATTTGTAGTTTGTAAGACAATATTACCATTAATTGGAGGCAGCCTATATTCAGCAGTGGATGTATTATGGCTGAAATAGGTAATGAAGATGATTACAGAAAAACATGCTAAATAAAATTCAATGGGTGAATAGATACAGGAAAGGGGTGAATACATGTCAGACATTTTCCCAACATTAACTCGTCGAGTATCGGTTTTATAGACACAATTAAAGAACAATGGGTCGCGGTCACCGGTGACCGCTTGGTGTTTGACAGTTTAATACCTGAAATAACTCTAAAAGCACACACTACACTTTATTTAAATAATACTGGTAAATCCACTGGTGGAAGATTATTAAAATAAGAAAAAAATATTTGATTTGAACTATTAAATTAATATGTATAATTTTTATACTTTCAGCATGAATCAATGTTGCTTTATTTGCAATGCTAAAGCATCGGTGGCCCTCAAAAATGCTATCACCCTGTTTGGAAATGATGTAAGTCTTGCCTGACATTTTATTCTTCAAAAGGCTAAGCTGAATGCATATCGTATGATTGGCCTGAAGTTATAACTTTTCATCTACTATCTTTATTTTATGAGATTTATCAACTAACTGATACCAGAGGGCCTGAGTCGCTTGGTTGGTTTATTGGACCCGGCGGGATAGCGTGTCAATCTTGTTAAACGTAAAACAAAGTCATACACACCTCTCAGACATATTGTAACATTCACTATTTACTGAGAATTTACAAAAATACCTATTCTGAATAACTATGACTTCACAAATCACATTTTATTAATTTTTGCGAATCTTTATGTTGTTTCTGCTAATCAAATATACAAATTCATCAAAGAAAAAATTTGCCTGTCTTCCATTGCAAGCAGAGAGCAGTAGTCAACATTTTTATTGAACTTTCGACTTTCTATGAAAACAATTAACTTGAAATAGTAATATAGTATAGTAATATATAAAGCTGAAGAGTTTGTTTTTTTGTTTGTTTGTTTGAACGCACTAATCTCCGTAACTACAAGTCTGATTTGAATAATTCTTTTTGTGTTGGATACCGCATTTATCTAGGATGGCTGTAGGCTATAAAACATCACGCTACGACCAATAGGAGCTGAGCAGAGCGTGGGCAACCGCGTGGAAGTAGCTAGTAGTAATAATAAAGAGATAGAAAGGAGTATGTTTGACATGCGGTCTGCCCTTAGTATGTACCTACATGAAATAAATATAACAAATCTATGTTTCCAGAGCACTTTACCTTCGGGGAAGAAAATTACAGATATCCTAAGTGAGATAGTTGAGAAGCCCGTCCAAAATAAGAAAGTTCATACTGATGTTTTATGTAAGAAGTGCTGGAAAACTTGCTGCGATTATGATACCACTCGAATCAGGTAAATGTAGTATTGTAATGATACCTTTTTTATGGAATAGGAGGCAAACGAGACGTCTCACCTGATGGTAAGCGATCAGCGCAGTCCATGGACACCCGCAACACCAGAAGAGTCACAGGTGCGTTGCCGGCCTTTTAAAAAGGATACCTACGCTCTTTTCTTTAGAGTGTAGGTAGACAGGTCCACATAAGTAGTATTTAGTTGGTGCTTAAAAATACCTATTTCTATTTACTGGGCACTATTCCAGTCTCTATGTTATTAATTACTGATGAATAAAAAGATCTCAATATTACTTTGCCCAACCCAGGAAACTAGACCGAGGACCCTTTGCTTTAATAGGAAGTGAAATTTTAGCCAACTTTTCCATTGACGCGTTTTTCAAACTTGACACTGCAGATTTTTGAAAACATGAGTTTTATTTACATGGGCACTCGGAACAAGGATTATTCCAGGTATTATTAATTACTAGAGAAACCCCCGAATGTTGTTATCTCTTGGAAAAATTTTATGTTATTTTTTTCTTACATAAGAACCCAGGAAAGCCCTGTATAAGAATTAGCGAAATCGGTTCAGCTGTTCTAGAGATTTGTGCAACACATTCAGCAATAATTTTTATATTATAGAAGATTTTTATATTAAAGATGTATAACGTTTTCTTTTCCAGATTAGAAACAATGAAATCAGAATTACTGGAACAATTCAAATCATCGATAACAGCTTACAAATTGGATTATGAAAATTATGAAAAAAATGAATATGGGACACCGCAGAAACCGAAATCGGTTATCGGAAAGACATTAGTGTTGCCAGCATCAAAATTACAACCGATACCACCGGATTTGTTGCTTAAAGTTGGGAAATTGGCGGCGTTTTCTAAACCTAATATTGTATTACCACAGATAAAGGTAAAGTACATCTCACATTTTTTTTTTAATAAATAGGCAGAGGTAAACATAATAATATGAAATGTAGGTCTGTATTATTGAGAAGAGAGAGACGAGACTATTTCTGTGCGATTCTCTCAAAACCTTTTAAACTGCTCTCCAACCTGCCTTTCAAGCGTGGAGATTATGGTACATAGAAGAAGCACTGTCTCTTGCAGTTGATGATTTTGTTGAATTGTTTAGTACTCCAGTCAATGTTAAAGTCAAAGCATTTATTTAAATTAATCCTTAATTAGGCACTTAAGGCACTTATAAAACGTCAAATTGAATAGGGTAGACGACTAATTTTTATTTTAATGTCCGTCTGGTAGATTATTTAAAAACATTAGACACGTATTTTTTATTTTCTCACAGAAACGAATAGTTTCGAAGATATATTGATTTGAAATGTCGCGTGACGTCACTTCTCAGTACATTTTATACTAAGAAATGACGTTTTAGCCCCCACTCCTAAACTTTGATTCGTTTTATCTAAGTATTGTTTTATTATACGACAAAATAAAAAAATACGTGTCTAATATTTTTTCATTACCTAACTTACGGACTATTATACTATATTTTTAATTTTCATACCCTGTCATCATCCCCATTGTCCATCAGTCTGTCAGTGAAGCTCGGTGAAGGCCAGCTTGGTACAAGTACTATTGATGATTATAATTTAATACTTTTAAATCACAAGTATGTTGTGGTGGCCTGGAGGTTTAAGACGCCTTATGCATGAGGGTGAGGGTTAGAAACCTACCAACGGCATGTACCAATGTAACTTTATCCGAATTGTATGTACTTTCTAAGATTATTTAGACACAATGGGGATGATGACAGGGTATGAAAATTAAAAATATAATTAGTCCGTAAGTTAGGTAATGAAAAAATATTAGACACGTATTTTTTTATTTTGTCGTATAATAAAACAATACTTAGATAAAACGAATCAAAGTTTAGGAGTGGGGGCTAAAACGTCATTCCTTAGTATAAAATGTACTGAGAAGTGACGTCACGCGACATTTCAAATCAATATATCTTCGAAACTATTCGTTTCTGTGAGAAAATAAAAAATACGTGTCTAATGTTTTTAAATAATCTATCAGACGGACATTAAAATAAAAATTAGTCGTCTACCCCATTGACAAACGGTAAAGGAAAACATCGTGAGAAAACCTGGGCTTATATTTTATTTCTATTTATAAGTTTGAAATGGCCAACGCATATCGAGCAAGCGTGGTGATTAATGCTCAATCCTTCTCCGTGTGAGAAGCGGCCTTTGATCATACTTATAAGCTCTTGATGTGTATGATGACGTTAGCAAACTTATCTCTATTTATTTAATTATTTCAGCCCACCACAGCATCAACATTAAACTTAAAAGTAACAGTCGGATCATCAGTTTTGACACAAACGATCAAAACAACAACTGCCAAAACTATAGAAACACAACAAATGGATACAAATTCAATATTAAATTCATTATCAAATGCTTTGAAAGATGACATAGATAGCCTAACAAGTGGTGATGAGAAAGCCATAATGAGTTTTGATGTGAACTCCTTGCCTAAAGACTTTTTATCCGGACCCGCTTTGAGAAGGATGAATGAAAAAGATAATGGAAAAACTGATAAAGTATCCGATGATCATACCATGGAAATTGATGAGGGTAAGTTAAATTATTTTAGACTAGCTTCTGCCCATGGCTTCGCTCGCGTTCCCGTGTGATAAAAAGCTTATGTGTTATTCGAAGCCACAACCTATCCCTGTTTCAAATTTCAATCTGAGGGCGAAGCACGAATAACTATCGCATTCGTATCGTAACAGTATCGATCGAGTTAAGCGTTCTGATTGGTTGGTACACTTGAGCCGGCCAATCAGAACGCCGAACGCACTCGATACTATTACATTACGATTGCGATAGTTATTCATGCTTGGTACTCTGATCGCTTCAGTCGTTTTGATTTGACGTGATTGGGTTACAAACATACACTCAAAGTTCCGCATTTTGGGCTGCCGGGGCTCCGGCTTGGAAGTGTAGGAGTAGGAACGGGGTGGTTTTTAGTCCGTAAGAGTATGACACTCCCTCTCGCCTCACCCGGGCGGGAGAAGTCATTCGATGATTTGCCACTCTCAAAAAAACGCTTTTCATTTATAATATGAGTACCACTATTCCCGCGGTGGCTGGGCAACTGGCTGCCGCGCAAAGTGTCGCCAGTTCGATTTTCACACGGAACAACTAATAAAATATTAAAATATAATCACATTTTCATTAACTGATTTTATGACGAAGAATTTTAAGAAATAAGTATGCTGTTTGGCGCTAAAAACCCATGACGTCACAATACACAATCTCGTATAAAATTCATAGAAAACTGTCGTTTTTGATAGTTGGAAAAAAGTATTGAATTTGATTAAGTAGTTGGCAAGTACCCAACTCTTTATGTGACCCACAGATTGTTATTCCGGGTCTGGGTGTCATGTGTATGTGAAATTGTATGTTTGTAAACGCACACACGATACAGGAAGAAATCCTAATGTGAGGTAATGTTTAAAAAAATCACTTCTCCTAATCTCCACATTGTTTTTCAGTGGTTCCTGTATCTTCAGCAGGTAGTGGACTTCTCTTACAAGTGGAGAGCTTACAACCCCCTCCAAGGCCTGAAGGGACCCATTATCTGGACATAGAACCCCTAGAGGGGGGTAACCCAGACCCCCATAAATTTATATTTGGCAAGCTACAGATGCTGAATGAACAAGAAGAAGAAGATGATGATGATGATGATGAGGATGAAGAAGGCCGTATGTATTTATTTTTAGGTTTTACTGGCTAGTCCGACTGCCGAGCGGTTTTACTCGCTCTGCTCAGCTACTATTGGTTTAAGCGTTACGTTTTATAGACTGCCTCGTTGGCCGAATGGTCGCAAGTACGACTGCCGGGCAAAGGGCCTAGGGTCGGGTAAAGTATTACTGGGTTTATAAAAATCTCAGTAGTAGCACGGAGTCTGGAATTGATGTGCCCGGTATATGGCAATAGATCCACCCTCTATTTCATGGGACTCATAATATAAATAGTGAAAAGTGGGTGTTACATTGTACAGTGGCACAATGTGCACCTCTGTTTACCCCTTCGGGGATAAAAGGCGTGATGTTATATTATAACCTATACATATATATATATAGATTTGCAGCAATACCTAATATAATTTGTTTTGTAATTTACAGACACAATAGTAGTGGACAGCGAGAATGGTTCGATACTGCGAATGGTGACTGGCCAGAAGTTTATATACGAGGGCGGCGAGATATCACTCGTCGTGCCCGACGACGACCAGGGGGACGCCGGGGATACGCACGACCAAGCCGATAGCCAAGGTACGGAGCTAGTCGTGGCACAGAGACAAATATATCTGTCTATTCCTATGGTGGATGTCGTAAGAGCCGAATAAGGACGCATACTGTAGCGTAGAGAATAATATAGGACTGGGATGCCGTCTCCTTATGCAAAGCAGTCATGCTAGCTAGGGAGGAGGCGAGGCGCTCACAACCCAGCCGTCGCGAAGGACACTCCGGGGTCGCGGGACGATCTCCGCCCACCGTAAGCCGATACGGAGCCGCGGAGAACTTAAAAGGTTTCTGGGGCTCCGGCTTGAAGGGCAGGGGTATGAACGGGATGGTTTTTAGTCAGTATGAGCCTGACGCTCCCTCAGAGAAGTCATTCGATGATTTAATATAGCCCTTTTTTTTGAGGGGGGAAAATCATCCAATGAATTCTCTCGTCCCGGTGAACCGGGAGGGAGTGTCAGACTCTTACTGACTAAAAACCATCCCGTTCCTACTCCTGCACTTCGAGCTTCGTATCGGCATCAGCCTTGTTGGGCCCCATCTGTGATGGTCTGATGGCTCCTTGAGGCGCGCGCGGAACGCTCGGCGCCGTACGCTCGGGCCTAGTTCTGGTCGGGCGGCGAGTCACCCGTGCTCGCCGTCCGCAGGCCCGTAATTTAATATAGCCCTACAGTAAGTGTAACAGCTAAGTATGGGACTCATATCCGATTCCCAAGTTAGGTTTTGTTTTCCCCGTGATGTTGTCATGTTATCTCCGTAATCCATCAGGTGATGCTCGTTTGCCTCATATTCCATAAAAAAATAAAATAACTCTGTTAACAGATTCCAACGATGAGTCTCAGATAGAGCTGCAAGTGTCGGGTGACGAGGAAACTGCGAACGCCATCATAGCCGCCGCGCAAGAAAAAGGTAATTAAGGTGTCCTTTATTATACTAGACTTTCCAAAAAAGAGATTCTCAATTCGCTTTGTATGTAGGAATTGCTATCCCGCTGCTCGTTTAATCCCGCGGTTTTAAGAAATCCCTTATCTTGGCAGATGCGTTGTTAAATACAATTATTATTAAATAAAACCGACGTGAAACAATGCTTGCGTTGTGTGAGTGAGGTTACCAGAGGCTCAGAGGGGGGGGGGGCTCTGATTTTAATTCTCAAACACCTAAACTCCCAAAAGGCCGGTAACGCACTTGCAACTCCTCTGGTGTTGCGGGTGTCCATGGGTGACCCTGATTGCTTACCATCATCCCATAAAAAACATCTTGATGTTATATCATACTGTTGAAAGTTATACCAAAACGGTGAAAATTGTTAAATTAGTGTTTTTTTTAATGGAGTATATAGACTAGAGTTACTAGTTAAGAAATCACTCACAATTTCCCCCACCACAACCAAATTTAGGGTAATTTAGCCTAGGCAAGTACAATTTTAAATGTTACATTCTTACATTGGTTTGGACATGTAGAAAGAATGATTGTAGAGTAACGAAAGAAATATACAGAGCGGATATGAATAGGGGCATCGGTAGAGGGCGGACATATACTGACCAGACTGGCTATATGTTAAAGAAAGGCCAAATTAAAAGTAATCTTAACTGACGAGCATGCATGAATACACTAATGACTGTTGATACCTATATGTAAGCTGCAGGGCCGCGCCGACCCCCGGCAGCGCCTGTGTGCGGAATCGATGGAGCGCCTCTTTTTTACCGACTTCAAAAAAGCAGGAGGTGCTATGTTCGGCTGATTGATTTTTTTTGTTTGTTCGCACATTACTCCGCCATTTGTACACCGATTTCCAAAAATCTTATTTTGTTTAAAAGGGTATACTCTCGAAATGGTCCCATTTCCATGAGCTCAGAATCTGATGATGGGATCCTAGGGAAACCGAGAGGAACCGAGGAGAACTTTCGAAAATTTTAGGGGCGAGTAATGAGTCTATTATGTTTTTCAATTACGATTTTTAAACACTACAATTTGAGAACGGTCTGGAGTCGACCTGATGATGGAGCCGACAGACAATCGAGAGAACTCCTCAGCTGTTTTTATTAACTACCCTATGCTTGGGCTTGATTAATTTAGTACAAACACAAGGTCGACTCACTCATACAAAGTCGGCGCCTTTATGATTCAATATAACTAGTAGGTACCTACTTTATCTGTGGTTCAAAAGATATGCCGCCGTTTTAACGTTGATCTTGTAACTCGTAAGTAATGTAAACTAAAACCCTAAGTGTAAAATGAAACCATAAACGTGATTAATAATAAACATAAATATTGAGAGACTTGTTTAATAAGCGTAATATAAGTTTTGTTGTATACAAGGCCTATGTTGCGCCTATTGTACCTACTTACTTATCGATACTCTACTACCAAAAATATAATAATTAAGGTAACAAAAATAATTCAAGTAGAGGTGGTGGCGCGACACGGCGCCCCTATTGTCTTGGCGCCTGTGTGCGCCGCACACTTCGCACACAGGGGCGGCGCGGCCCTGGTAAGCTGCCCTACCCCCATGGGAGACAGGCGTGCGATGTATGTACTACAATTTTTATTTGTTTGTTGTAGGTGGAGCATTCATAAAGGTGGAGTCGGGCGAGATGTTCCGCGTGAAGTCAGTGAGTAGCTCGGCGCGGCCCGCCACTCCGCTGCAAATAGTCGCTCCGCATGATGACAAGTTCAAGTGTCTACTCTGTGAGAAAAATGGTAATTTCATTATCACTCTGTAAAGTTCGTTTAGACTGATTTCATTTCGACTTTGGCTCGATGTGGCTTTTTTTAAACGTTACCTCACACTAAGATTTTCTCCTGTGTCGTTGGTGCGTTTAAAACATACAAGTTCACATACACATGACACTCAGACCCGGAACAACAATCTGTGGATCACACAAAGAGTTGTTCCGTGCGGGATTGGACCAGCGACACGTGACGCGGCAGCCATTTGCCCAGCCAACCGGTGCAATCAAATTTTTACTTGAATCTGAATTGGACTTTCTGATGAGACATTGTCATTGTTCAAGTTCAATTTAAATTCAAATTCAAAATTTTTATTTCAGATAAAACATCCATATTTATGTAGTACAACTTAGCCTAATGTTAGTAAATTATAATAATTAATATATAAACATATCGGTCGATATATAAATATATCGGTTTTGATTACGACTTAACTTTGGCTGCCGTGACTTCTGAGTTCAATTTGAGTGACTTTCGCCCAAATACTGAAAGGCTACGCAATTTTAAGTATTACTTAAATATCTTGCAATCTCTGTCGTTTTGCAAAGAACTAGTTGGGTACTTGCCAACTAGTCAAATTCAATACTTTTTACGAACTGTCAAAAACTACAGTTTTCTATGAATTTTATACGAGATTGTGTATTGTGACGTCACGTTTTTTTAGCGTCAAACAGCATACTTATTTCTTAAAAAAGTGTTGGGAAAATACTAAAATTAATTTGGTCATAAAATCTATCATTGAAAGTGTGACTATTTTTTAATATTTTATTGTATTGAACAGTTGAAATAATTTATTTTTGATTAAGGCAAGTAACCAATTAAGCGCGGCTTAAAATTAAGTAGCGTTTGAGTATTTAGACATTTCACTTTGAGTATACTTTGTGTATTATGAGTTCTATGAATGCCCATTTATTTACCAATATTACTTGCTATTTCTGTATTTATTTAACAACTAGCGACCCGCCCGGCTTCGCACGGGAGCAATATGCATGCATTATACATATAAACCTTCCTTAAGAATCACTCCTTCTATTAAAAAAAAACCCATAGCAGCGCCATCTATTGATTACTTACTCAACCCAGTCGAAAGGTATCGACATCTGTTAGAATCATTTGGAGTTAACAGATAATTGTTACTGTCAAATAATAACAGACAAATAATTAGCAACAAATTAAAATTGCGACTATAATTTGAGATTTAAACTATCCTATCTCTCAAGTTGGATCGAACTACACATGGTGTGCGAATTTTATTATAATCGGTTAATTGGTTTAGGAGTCCATTGAGGACAAACATTGTGACACGAGATTTATATATATTAAGATATAATTCTCATTTTACAGGTTCAGAAAAAGAAATGATAAGTGAAGCAGACGCAATGATGCGGCATTTGAAGACAGTTCACGACGCGCGCCTGTATCTGTGCCGGTTCTGCGGGGTTGTTATGAGGAAACGCACCGAATATGCCTCGCATATAGGTAATATTTATTAGGTCTATATTATTTTCTAGGTTTTTTGGATCTTGTTGGTATAATGTATAGGGAAATATCGAAAAAGTCGTTTAATCTAAGAGTCAAGTTCGGGCAGCTGCTATCTTTGATTTCCATTTTAAACCACCCTCGAAAACCATGAAAACGACACCCATGACGATAAACTGAAAATATCATGCTGCGGCCATCTTGGATTTGCATTTTGACAGCACCATTTTTTTCATCGTCTGATCGTCTTTCGAGATGTCGTGGTGGCCCGGAGGTTTAAGACGTCCACTTCTCATGCATGAGGGTGCGGGTTCGAAACCTACCAACGGCAAGTACCAATGTGACTTTTTCCGAGTTATATGTACTTTCTAAGATTATTTAGACACCACTGACAAACGGTGAAGGCAAACATCGTGAGGAAACCTGGACTTATAATTTCTAATTATAAGTTTGAAATCGCCAACCCGCATTGAGCAAGCGTGGTGATTAATGCTCTAACCTTCTCCGTGTGAGAAGAGGCTTTGCTCAGCAGTGGGCATTTATAGGCTGTTGATGATGATGATGATTTTTTTCATCACCCGCGAAAACCATGAAAGCTATACCCATGACGACAAATTGAACATTTCGGGAAGCGGCCATCTTGGATTTTCATTTTGACAGCACCATCGGTTTTATCACCCTCGAAAACTATGTTAACGATACCCATGACGACAAATTGAAAATTTCATGCAGCCGTCATCTTGAATTTACATTTTGACAGCACTATAATTTTCATCATCCTCGAAAACCATGCAAACGACACCCATTGCCGATAAATTGGAAATTTCACGCAGCCGCCATCTTGAATTTACATTTTGACAGCACTATAATTTTCATCATCCTCGAAAACCATGAAATGGACACCCAAGACGACAAATTGAAAATTCCGGAAAGCGGCCACCTTGAATTTGCATTTTGACAACACTATCAATTTCACCACCCTCGAAAACCACATAAACGACACCCATGACGATAAATTGCCAATTTCGGGCAGCGGCCATCTTGGATTTTCATTTTGACAGCATCATCGGTTTTACCATCCTCGAAAACCATGTTAACGATACCCATGACGACAAATTAAAAATTTCGGGAAGCGGCCATCTTGCATTTACATTTTGACAGCACCATCGGTTTTATCACCCTCGAAAACCATGAAAACGACACCCAAGACGATAAATTGAAAATTTCGTGTAGCCACCATCTTGAATTTAGTTTGACAGCACCATCATTTTCACCACTCTCGAAAACCATTACAGCTATAGCCATAATGAAAAGTTAAACAATCCGAGCAGCGGCGGATTTTGACTCACGCCGTATTTATTTCGGCTAGTCGGCCAGCCGGGATTATCAACGTCGCATCGCCACTCCGCTCAGCGCTAAGACCGCACTCGTGACTGGGTCGTTAGATCGTATTTATCACTTTAATTAATTCGAGCCTGCTATTATTTATAATATCCGGTTAAAGTGATTCATTTCTCTGTTACATTGATTAAGCGATTTGGTTATTATGTGAATAATATGAAATGAATGACTTTGGCTGTAACACATAGTATGTATCGGCAGCGGATCACGTGTCAGCGGGCGCGGCGGCGGGCGGCGGGCGCGGCGCGCACCGCTGCGGCACGTGCGGCAAGTGGTTCGCCAGCCGCGGCCTGCTGCGGGACCATCTCAACGTGCACGCCGGCGCCAGGCCCCACGTCTGTACCGTCTGCCACAAGGCCTTCGCGTCCAAGTACACGCACCAAGCACATCTCAAGACTCATGCGGTAAGTATAAACAACGTGCTCGCCGGCGCCAGGCCCCACGTCTGTACCGTCTGCCACAAGGCCTTCGCGTCCAAGTACACGCACCAAGCACATCTCAAGACTCATGCGGTAAGTATAAACAACGTGCTCGCCGGCGCCAGGCCCCACGTCTGTACCGTCTGCCACAAGGCCTTCGCGTCCAAGTACACGCACCAAGCACATCTCAAGACTCATGCGGTAAGTATAAACAACGTGCACGCCGGCGCCAGGCCCCACGTCTGTACCGTCTGCCACAAGGCCTTCGCGTCCAAGTACACGCACCAAGCACATCTCAAGACTCATGCGGTAAGTATAAACAACGTGCTCGCCGGCGCCAGGCCCCACGTCTGTACCGTCTGCCACAAGGCCTTCGCGTCCAAGTACACGCACCAAGCACATCTCAAGACTCATGCGGTAAGTATAAACAACGTGCTCGCCGGCGCCAGGCCCCACGTCTGTACCGTCTGCCACAAGGCCTTCGCGTCCAAGTACACGCACCAAGCACATCTCAAGACTCATGCGGTAAGTATAAACAACGTGCTCGCCGGCGCCAGGCCCCACGTCTGTACCGTCTGCCACAAGGCCTTCGCGTCCAAGTACACGCACCAAGCACATCTCAAGACTCATGCGGTAAGTATAAACAACGTGCTCGCCGGCGCCAGGCCCCACGTCTGTACCGTCTGCCACAAGGCCTTCGCGTCCAAGTACACGCACCAAGCACATCTCAAGACTCATGCGGTAAGTATAAACAACGTGCTCGCCGGCGCCAGGCCCCACGTCTGTACCGTCTGCCACAAGGCCTTCGCGTCCAAGTACACGCACCAAGCACATCTCAAGACTCATGCGGTAAGTATAAACAACGTGCTCGCCGGCGCCAGGCCCCACGTCTGTACCGTCTGCCACAAGGCCTTCGCGTCCAAGTACACGCACCAAGCACATCTCAAGACTCATGCGGTAAGTATAAACAACGTGCTCGCCGGCGCCAGGCCCCACGTCTGTACCGTCTGCCACAAGGCCTTCGCGTCCAAGTACACGCACCAAGCACATCTCAAGACTCATGCGGTAAGTATAAACAACGTGCTCGCCGGCGCCAGGCCCCACGTCTGTACCGTCTGCCACAAGGCCTTCGCGTCCAAGTACACGCACCAAGCACATCTCAAGACTCATGCGGTAACTACTAGTGGAAGGAAATTCATTCATGGCTATAAACTACTGTTCGCAATACAAAAATCTTTAGATTGATATCATTTTTTTACAATCTATAATAAGTTGTTAGAATTTTTTTGTTAAAAATGTTAATTTTTCTACTTATCTATAATAATAAAATCAACTTACCAACGTTTTCCAGGTTCGACCTCGTCCGTTTAAATGCAGTCAGTGCGGCAAATCATTCCTTACTCAACAAAATCTCAACCAACACGAGAAAACACATTCCGGGATCAAAGACTTTGTCTGTAATATATGCAGTAAGTATATACAACCATTGTCATCACCCGTACTTGGCGTAGTTAGCATAGGTACCCCAAGGCGGATTTCGTAGGTGTCACCCCAAAACTCAATCGGAACTTTTAAAATAATAAGTTATAATCATTTACGTTTTATTAAACTACTAGCTACTTCCGCGCGGTTTTACACGCTCTGCTCAGCTCCTATTGGTCGTAGCGTGATGTTTTATAGCCTGCAGCCATCCTCCATAAATGCGCTATCCAATACAAAAAGAATTATTCAAATCAGACTTGTAGTTACGGAGATTACCGCGTTCAAGAACAAACTCTTATGCTTTATATAATAGTAGATAGAAGATAAGATGAGCAGTACAAATATTTGTGTATTAAGTGAAACAAATTTAGTTGATTAAAAAATAAAATTTCTTCCTTTTAGCTTTGACACTTGCGAACTCCGAAATCCCGTTTTTAATATTTATATTTGATGTTGTTTCATGTTCTATCATTAAAATACCAAGAATGTTTAATCTGGTTCTAGTCATTGTAGACCGCAAGTAATTTGTACTTTAATTAACTTGAAGTGTTCTTCTTTGATTGTCACAACAAATATTCGAATTTGTCGCCATTGAAATATAGTAATTGGATAGTTTCCTGGGTCAAAAATAAATTATTTTGATTTTTCAATCCAATTAAATATTGAAAAATAGTTACACTTTCATTCATTGATTTGCCGATATTCTTAATTTTCGATTTATTCTTGCATTTTCTTCAGATATAAGTGTGCTATTTGACGCGAAAATATGATGACGTCATAAGCTAGTATTTCGTACAAAATTCATAAAACAGTATCGTTTTTGACGTTTCGATAAAAGTATTGAATTTGACTGCCTTGTTGGCCGAGTGGTCGCAAGTGCGACTGCCGGGTAAGGGGTCTCGGGTTCGATTCCCGGGTCGGGCAAAGTATTACTGGGTTTTAAAAAAATTCTCAGTAGTAGCACGGAGTCTGGAATTGTGCCCGGTATATGGCAATAGGCTCACCCCCTATTACATGGGACTCATAACATAAACTAGCTGTTGCCCGCGACTTCGTCCGCGTAGATTAATGACTTCTGACAGAATTAACCAGAATCAATTCAGTGCCCAAGTAAGATTTACCTATTTTGAAATGATTCATCGTAGTTTCAATAAATAAATAATCCCGCAGGGATCTTACCAGTACAGTGCCCGATCACGTAAGGTTTGAGTAATAAAAACTATTCTATCGACTATTGTTGTACCGAATCTCTCTAAAATAAGTTCAGTGGTTAAGAGTTAGAGAGTCCTGGGGCATTGACGCATAGTTCCCGTTCTCGTGAGACATCTGTGAAAAAACTATCATACGTTACCCAGGTCCTAAATCATCGTTTTACCGAATGTAATTCAAAAAGATTCAATGATTCTAAATTCAACGGCTAAGAAGATTTATACAAACTCTCATTCCCTATTTTATCCCCTTAGGGGTGGAATTTATCAAAATCCTTTCTAAAGAGATACCTATGTCATAGTAACTTTATGCATGCAAAGTCTCAGCCATCAATTTAAAACTGGCAAAGTATCATACAAACTTTCACCCCCTATTTTACCCACTTTGGGGTGAGAATGTTCAAAAACCTTTCTAAAGGGACGTTTACGTCATAATATCCATCTGCACGCCGAATTTCAACCCGATCGGTGTAAAACTGACAAAGCTTCATACAAACGTTCATC